ATCTTCTGCCTTCCTAGATCATCCAACAGTAACCTGTTCCTGATCATGTCTTTAGTGCCGCTGTAACACAGATGCATCCGATGTCATGGCGTTCAGGTGTTACCTGTGTGTGTTTACTAGAGCTGAGGAAAATAATCAAATAATCGATGCATCGGGATGCGGACATAAACGATTCAGCATCGTAGAAGAGTACGCCATAATCGATTATAGTGGAATGTAGTTTAGTTTTTTAACGGCGGCACCAGCGCAGCATCCAAATCTGTCAGAGTGAGCATCCTCCACATTTACCAAGTGGTTCCGCCTTAATGTGGTACTGCAGGGCTGAGCGCTAGAGTTGTAACCTGAGACCGAACCGGGACCGAATCAGCCCGACCGGTTCTGTTGGGTTTGGGCCGTGAATTATGTTAATTGAGCGGGTTGTCGCGTGGTGCGCTCCGCTCGCTCGATCAGCAACTGAGAGAGAGAGAGAGACTGTCTGCTCACACAAGAAAGAGGATCGGAGGACGCTCCTCCTAGCACGCATTATTATTTTCATAATTTAATTATTATTTCTCCTGGAAGCGCTCAGTCAGAGTTGCGATGCCGGGACATCCGGTCTTGGGGAGGGGGCGGGGTCAATGACGGCAGCTGCAGTGTAATCGTCTGTCTCTTTTATTTAGGGACACAGAGAAGTTAAAAGGAGAGAGAAATAGAAGATAGAAGTTTTTGTTCCACTTTATTTTGTTTCATGATGATAAACTGATGTTAAATTCAGCTGAAAGAGAAACTGGGAGGAAGCTTTGGTTCATTTTAAGTTACAGGAGGTATTGTGTCCTATCTGCTCCTCCAGAGACAGCATGGACATGAGGGTTACATGGTGAGGGTTAGTGGAAAGGTTTGTAGTTAGCTGGTTAGTGAAGCTGATCCATCAGCTGGGTAATTTAAACCTAATCCAACCCACAGCCTTCTGCTGGTGTTATTATCAGAAAGAATAAAACACACATCTTTAATATTATTGGAAGTGTAGAATTTGTTTTATGTTTTATTATTTTCTGCATCAAACAGAATTTGATTCATTCTCCAACATTTCAGAAATGAACCACTGGGTTCAAATAAAATCACAAACTAAGTCAAACATTTCATTTGGTGTTACTTCTGACACCCTTCAACTGCGGCATAAATATTTCACTCTAGAGCTGCTCAGAGACATTAAACACTCATATATGAACCCATTATGCATTTAATTATTGCATTATGTGTCCTGTAGGTTTTCAGTACTTTTTTAGATTTTGTGAGTTTTTGCTAAGCGTGTTTTCTCAGCCTGAGGCGTGGTGTTGAACGAGGAAACAGATTGTTTTACTTTGTTAAATCTTTTTAAATGTTTAAAATGTTTTGTCCAACCCTGTTGTCAATGGAGAGCTTTTGAGGGATGGCAGTTTGTGTCAATTACGTTTTTGATAAAAAAAAAAAAATAAATAAAAAGCAATTATCTGACATTTTCTATTTATCAATGAAAACAAATCTATATGAAATAACCGTGATGCATCGGGACATCGAATCGTTGACCCAATAATCGTAATCGAATCAGGAGACAAGTGAAGATTCGCACCTCTAGTGTTTACCACCCAGCTTCAGCTCTTCTGTGGTTGGGTCTGATCCACGTTAGTACATTTAAGTCCTCCATCAGATCTGTGGCTCTTCTAGTGTCATTTTAAAGGATTTTTATTTATTTATTTAACCGTTACTAGATTAGCAGCAACAGAAATGCTGCTAAAAACACACAATTATGTGAAGCTGGAAAAATTGGAATACTTGCCATAATTACATTTATTTCAGTAATTAAACTAGACTGAGACCATTTAAAGGCTCAGGAACCTTTACAGGTGTTGTTAAATATCACACAGTGACATTTTAATAGTCTAGATTAGTGTAATGCTCCTGTTAGTAGTTCCTCCTGTTAAGTGCCCATTTATTTCAATTATTCCGTTTTATAAAAAAAACATTTGGACGTACATTTTATTATGTTCCAGTCATTAGTCATTTATATTTCACTATTGTAGTAATTTATACTAAATTAAGTGAATTTAATTAAGAGGGGAACCCATTTTTTCTGCATTCTTTAATGAAAAGAAGTAACGAAATAATTATTTTTCTTGGTAATTAGTTACTTTAATAATCTTGTAACTCAGTAAGTGACCGAGTTACTTTTTCGACAAAGTAATCAGTAACTATAACAAAATACTTTTTAAAGTAACTTTCCCAGCACTGCTAGCCTGCCACATTGCACTGTGTTTGTTGAGAAATGTTCGGGGGCTTTAATGCTTTGCTGTGATGGAGAAAAACTACAAATAAGGCACTGGCTCAGAAGAGCACTTGTTTGGCTTGGGCTTCAACTTTAGACGATTTTGACTTGATCTTTTCTTTAAGACACAAGTAGATATGTACTTAAAGCAGAAATCCATATTTTATTTTTCAACTGCACCGTCTACAGGCTGAGAAATGGATTGCACCTCAAGTCCCTCCTTAGTTCCGCAATAACGGCTGAAAGGAATGCCTTCGTCAACACGCAGCTATGACAAAAAAAAAACAACGCTATTTTATTTACACATATTATAGTGTGTTTTTCTGTAGCTTACAGTTTGTGTTTTCGTATAGATTTTCTAACCCATTGATGCATGCGCGCGCGCGCACACACACACACACACACACACACACACACACACACACACACACACACACACACACACACACACACACACACCAACCATTTTAAAGTGAGTAAATAATTTTAGTTCAAGGTTTCTCTGTATTTGTAGCTTTGCTCAGATTCTCTCATGCAGAGTAAAAGCTTGAAGAATGCTACCTGCTTCTAGAGAATCAAAGGCAAGAGGTCTTTGTTTCAGCAGAGATTCAGATCTTTTTTTGCTCCAGCCAAGAGGCCAAAACCAAACCTGCTTCAAAGAACTCACAGGTGATCGGCTGGATTTGTGGTGTTCAAAGGAAAGACAGATATCCAGACATGAACCACACTTCTCTGTGAATAAACTCTGTACAATAGTTCTCTGTTAATAAGAGATATATTCTGTTGGAACTGGAAATCTGTTTCCTGTGTTTATTTTTAAGGTTTCGCAGCTGAAATGTTTGACTTGACAGAACTTGGCATCAATGCAAAAGCAGCGCTTAAAAAAAAAAGTGGAAGGTGTCAGGACTCTCAGAATCCTCACCAGCTGAGAGGAGATTTCCCTGGTCGGTGTTTAAGCTGCAGTCATGAACATTTTGTACAACCAGAAATAAAACACATCGATCCACAAACCTGACTGCAGTTTGTCGATGTAACCGACCTGAATGGGCAAATGTTCATATTCGATGGCGTCTGGCACGTTGGAGAGGCGTTCTGTTCATGGATGAATCCCAGTTTTCGCTGATCCGGGCAGACGGCAGACAGCGTGTGTGGCGTTGTGTGGGTGAGCGGTTTGCTGATGGCAACGTTGTGTATCTGGTGGCCCATGGAGGAGGTGGGGTTATGGTATGGGCAGGCGTATGTTAGGGACAACAAATATAGGTGCATTTTACTGATGATGATAAATGACATGTTCTTGTATAGCGTCTTTCAGAGTCAGAGGACTGCAAAGCGCTATACACTACAGTGCACCATTCATCCATTCACACACACATTCACACACTGGTGGGGATGAGCTACGATGTAGCCACAGCTGCCCTGAGGCGCACTGACAGAGGTGAGGCTGCCGAGCACAGGTGCCTCCGGTCCCTCTGACCACCATCAGCAGCAAGGTGGGTTAAGTGTATTGCCCAAGGACACAACAACAGAATTCTCTGTCTGGATCCAGAATGGAACCTGCAACCTTCTGATTACTGGACAACCCGCTCTTACCTCCTGAGCTACTGCTGCCATGATGGCATTGTGATATCGTGACGAAATCCTGAGGCCCATTGTTGGGCCATTCATCCTCGACCATCACCTCATATTGCAGCATGATAACACATGGTCCCATAGTGCAAGGATCTGTACGGAATTCCTGGAAGCTGAAAATATCCCAGTTCTTGCATGGCCAGCATATCCACCAGACATGTCACCCATTGAGCATGTTTGGAATTCTCTGGATCGCCGTAAACGACTGTGTGTTCCACACAACCTGATGCAACGGAGATGTGTTGAACAGCATGAGGCAAGTGGTGGCCACACCAGATTCTAATTGGTTTTCTGACCTGAGTGGCCTTTTATTGTGGCCAGTCTAAGGCACACCAGGGCCAAGGTCATGCTGTCTTATCAGCACCTTAATATACCACACCTGTGAGGTGGGGCGGGTTATCTCGGCCAAGGAGAAGCGCTACCTAACACACGTTTGTGAACACATTTAGAGACTAACAGGTCTTTTGTATATAAAGAGAAAACTTTAGAACTTTGAGTTCAGCTCATGATAATTAGAGCACAAGCAAGTGTTGCATTTCTATTTTAGTTCAGTGTAGATTTCAAAGCCATTTTTGGTGCAAACTCTAGTCTTCTCTAGCTTAACACTGTTGGTCATCACCTGCTGCTGGATAGTGCTGAGTAGACCTATCAGGAACAACTCTGGGGTGGTTCTCCTCTTATCTGTCTGAACGTTTCTTCTCTGTGAGAAGACAGATCGGTGGACTCAGTGGTCTCCTTTAAAAGCAGCTGGCAACTCACCTGTTGATTCTTCCTGACTCCTCTACATGCTGCTGTGTCTTCCATTCCCGTCTTTCCAGGATCCCGTATTACCTTTTCTTATTCATTTTCCTTTTTCTTCCTCATGTTTTTTAATTGTACTTGTTGTTCTTGTGAAGTGCTTTGTTGTTTTATTTTGTTTCTTCTTCTGAAATGAAACCAAGTGCAGTAGCTCACTAAGAACAGTTAAATCCGGAGAGTTTTCTGTGGAAACTCAAAACACATTTTAAGACAAAGCAGTGAAACCCTACTGCTTATTTAGTTTTACATCATGTTTTTGTAACTTTGTTGAAAATTCTCTTTGTTTTCCCAGAATGCTGAGGTGTCCGTGTTCGAGGTCAACATCCGTTTCATAGGAGGCCTGCTGGCTGCATACTACCTCTCAGGACAGGAAGTAAGTGCTTGGATCTCACAAACATTATAAAAGAACCAGGCTGAGTAGATAACGTTATGCTTGTTTATGTTAATTACATATTAGTAGGGATGGCTACCTTTGACATTTGAATTGATTCGGTACTAATTCCCGGTACCTAGGAATCGATACCGGTACTTAACGGTACCAATTTTCGATACTTTTGAGTGTTTAATATTTTAATTCTCTTTTATAATTAAATATATATTTTTCTCAATATGTAAACATATTTGATAAATATCACGATAAATAACATTCAACAGTTTGCATTTTAACATCGTCCTTGTAGTTTTATAAGCTGATAATTAAACTGAAGCAAACATCTTTACTGTGAACTAAATTTACTGTGTATCTTCATTCCTTTTGCCGTGCTTTTTCTTAGATTTTTCCTACTGGGAAGTTAGAATTTCCAAGGAGAAAGCGAAAGCACCATTAGCTGATAACAATGGTGGCAATGGAAGCTAACAAATCAAGCTAACGTTATCTTTAACATTTTATTTACCTACCGGAGCAGATTAAGAAAAGGATGTCTCACTATCGTCACTGGTTTCATCGTCACCCAGTTTCCCATCACATTTAGTGAAGTGGACCCAAGCTTTAGCGTGCGTTCTTTCTACCATGCTGCTCTGTTTACAACTCGCTCACAGCGACCGACGACATAACGCTCTTGCACATGTGCAGCTGTCTAGGCAAGTTCTCGTTATGAAGGACGGGTACCGAAACGAGGCACTGTTTCAAATGACGTGAATCGGTACTCAGTCGGTCCTATGGAATTTGGTCGGTACCTTAAAAAGTACAGAATTCAGTACTCAACGCTACAAATTAGAAGTGAACAATGCAGAAAACATTAGGAAAGAAACTTTTCTTCTGATTTCTGAGCCTTTGTCTCTTATCTCATGAATAAATCATGCTTTGTTTTTTCTGTTCTACTTTCTCTTATTCTGTTTGGAGACAAACGGGTAAACGTTGCTGCTGCTTCTAAGTCCAGTTACCTTTAAATCCAGCCTTCCAGCTCTGTGGGTTTGTCATAATTAAACAAGAGTCTGATTTTAGCTGTTCTTACTTTTCTGGCGTCTTTCTGAGGTCGTTCTGTGTTGGCGTCCACGCCTGGAGGTTTGTCCTGAGGGCTCTCTCTGGGTTTTATATTTGGTCTTCATAAGATGACCTTCGTCCACACTTTCTGTAACAGCTCCTTCCTGTGCAGGATGAGGAGACAGGCGAGGGACACCCTGGACAGGTCATCTGTCCATCACAGGGACACACATAGAGACAGATGAAGCAGATGACCCTTCAGAAACAAATCTGACCTCCTCCCACTAATGACTCATTTGAACTGCCCTGCGGTCTCTGGCAAACCCCCGTGAAAATGCTAATTCTGTGGGTTGAGTTACGTAAACCCATAAACAGGTTTGCTAATTCACTTGCTGTGGCGGTACAGACAAAACACCACTCTTCTCTCGCTCTCCTTCTCATTCCCTCACACACCTCCACCTCCGTCAAACTTACTCATTCATCAGAGCCCACTCGAGTAATAACAGAAGCTGTGGGCGGCGGGAAGAGAGGGATATGGAGGGTTGAAGGGCTCGGAGGGAGAGATTGATAGATGGAGCATTGGGGGGGGGGGGGTAGGAGGGTGAGGATGAGTCTAAATGTAGAGGCAGGAAAGTAAAACGATAAATAAATAGGGAACATTAATAAAGCTGGGAAAAATGTAAACAATGGAAAATAGAACTTTCTTTTTCCATCTGCGTTCCCCATGAGCTGACACTATTTCAGTTCATCTGCTGCAGAGATTGCAGCGCTCAGTCTGTGTCCACAGGTGGTTCTAACAGGCCTTTAGTTCTGCCGCTCGAAGGGATCAGCAGCTTCTTCACACAATCACGATTTTCATGCAAATCTGAACGTTCACCATTCACAGCAAGCCTAATATCACGTCTCTTTCAGCTGAATACAAGTCATTCACACAGATTAAATAACTTTGAACCATTCACTTTTCTACTTTTAAGAGTTTGAACGGTACCCAGAAGCTGTTGTATCATGTTCCAGGGGCTCGAAGACATGGTGGGGATCTGAAATGTGACGCTAACCTTTTCACTAAAGACATCCTCAGATAAATATGTGTTAGTAGATATTTGATAGTGAGTAGGTTCATTTAGTTCCTCAGAAGTACTTTCTGACATCATTTCAGGGATCCTCGTGTTAGCTCAGGTGAAGAGGCTAATTTGAGTTAGAACATCAGACAGCAAGCTTTAAAAGAGCGAGTAAAGTTCATCCTCTGGTAACCATAGTTACCAGCAAGGAAAGGCATACAGTCGTCATTGATTAGCATCAGAAGGGCTTCACAGATCAAAACGTTGCCACTAGTAAGACAGACAGTATCTGAATAACCCCTTTGTTGGATTGACATAAACCTCAAAGAGAAAAGCATGAATTATTATGAAGAAAACGTCAGGGTCCCCAAGAAGGTCCAGCAGCACCAGGACTGTCTCCTAAAGCAGATCCAGCTGTGGGATCTGGATCCACCATTAATGTTCAGGAATGGCAGCACCCATCTGTAGCTCAGTGAGGGGATTTTTGGAGGACGGACTGGTGTCAGGACGGGAAGCAAAGAAGCCTCTTCTTGCCAAAACAAGAGATAGACCGATGTTCTGCTAAAAGCCAGGGCTCCAACAGCTGAGGGCTGGGAGAAAGTCATTTTCTCTGATGAATCACCTTTCTGATTGTCTGGAGGCTAAAAGGTTATTTTTCTCATCAGTCCAATGTGCTGCTGTAAATGGATGTAAAGCAACCTGAGCCCAGTTGAAAATCAGAATGGTACTTAAACATCTTGCCAGAGGAACCCCCCCCCCCAACTGACCATCATCAAGTTGGTGATTAACAATGTGTTTTCCACCGTTATGTAGCACCAGGCCAAAAGGATCAGATCAGAACTAAGTGGTTCAAGAACAACATCAGCATGTTGGATCCAGGTCCAAGAATCTCCCCAGACCTCAATCCTACTGAGAACTTGTGGTCCATCCTCTAATGGCAGAAGGACCAACCAAAACCAAAATCAGTCTGGATATGGACCAGCATGTGTGGGTGAACCACAGAGGTCTCTAGGACAAAAGACCAATGCGAGAAAGATTGACTCTTTACATAAAGATAATTTCTCTTCAGCACAGCTGACAAAGGTTTATGATGGGTCAGTCCTCCTGCATGCTCAGATCATTCCCTTCCCTTGCTTGAAAAATTGTTCCAAAATGAAAGTTGAACCCACATCTTTTTTATCTGTGAATTCAATGCCGTCCGGCAAGTCTCAAATAAAAATGTGGGCATCTTACTGTAAAAATATATACCATTAATGTAAAAAAGAAACTCTAAATGAACTATGTTCACACCCAGAATCAAACCCAGGTCTTCTGCATGGGAGTCAGACATCTTACAAGATGAGCTACACTCTAGTAACATTCACAGTATCTGTAACATTCATATCCTTGAAGACACCTGAAACAACGTTCAAAGAATGGTTCGGAGCGAAAATGGTTATTTTGTTGCTAATTTGCAGGAAATATCTAGAAGAAAGTTCTACAGAAAGTAGCTAAGGGTCCTCAGAAATGTAGCTAGGTTCATCACTAGGCGTTAAGAACAGCGACAAAGTCGCTGAGTTGGCACTGCCTCTCTCTCTGCTGCTAAAGCTACTGATAGCAAATGCTACGGGCTATGCCTGAGCGTGAACGCGCATGAAGCAGCCTGCTCGACCCGAGCAGCTCTCTTTTTCTGTGATTTTACAGAAAAACAGGCAATCACAGTAAAAATGCCAGGGCTCATTCTACAGGACCAGGGTATTGCAGGAGAATGTATGAAGAAGACATTTATTATTTCTATACATGTTTTGGCTGTCAAACTTCCATAGCGTCCCTTTAAGAGTTTTGAAGTCGCTCCAGAAGTCACCCACACAAGCTCCACTTTCCTCAGTCAGACACCATCTGCAAACCTCACCTTTGGCCTCTGCACTTATTTTCATGTTTGACTGCTCATCGTCAAGTGTCAAGATTTTCTGGGCTTCCTATCATGGATGCATTTTCAAACTGGCAGACAGCTATAGCAACAAGCTGAACTGGTGGACCTTAGCTCATGAAGATGAGACACTCAGGACGACAAGGACAGAATAGAGACGGTGTGATGAAAGAATAAACAAATATACAGATATAAACACAGATGCAACAACAAAAGTAGAGGAGGAGGTGTGAAGATCAGCATTCAGGAGGAAGTCCAAACAGAGCAGCAGTGATGGATTGTGTTTACTCTTCTGTCGCTAGCTTTTTCCTTTGGTCTCTGCTCCTGTTCCTGCTGTTTTTCTCTGACGTTCTCCCCATTTATCTGTATCCATTCCTCTTTTTTTCCTCCTCACCACCACTTGGTTCTGTTTTCAACATTCTGTGGTCCCTCTCTTTTGCTAGCTGACAACTAGAGGTGTAACTGTATATGTTATTTTACTAACATGAAATAAAGTGTGGCACATACGATAATACTAAGAACCTGGTAGTCACTGATGATCACCACTCTCACCCACAAACACACATTTGTTTTTTCTCTTTTGGCTAATTGCTCCAACAGAAGATGAGCAGAGGAAAACATCTAAGGGGCTCCATGTCAAAGCTAGAATGGATGCACAGGAGCACAATGACCTGGCTGTCTGTTTCACATCAGCAGCTATCAGTCACTCACCTCTCTGAGTGGAGGTTTGAGTGTGTTGCATTTCATTTATGTGGTCTTTTAACGCTGAGGAAAGGGCTCCAAGAATGGATGCTAAAGTCAAAGATGGTGGGTCTGTTAGTCACTAATAACTGTAGTTAACACAAAATTACAAATTTAGTGTGTTGGGGGGGGGGGGGGGGTCTAAAGGGGGGGAAAATTCTTCCAAGCCAACGATGAACCTACTCATAGCAGGACAGAGATGATGTTAGGGAGAGAAATAAAAGAAGCTTCACATGTTCAGA